TATATATATATATAATTCTTAAAAATTTTTACTACAAGGAGAAAAATATAACTTATAATATTAACAAGTACATATTATCAAAGTAAAGTATATTCTAATTATTTATTTTATATATATATAAGAGAAATATTATAGATTTTTTAAGTATCGGAGCAATAACTACAAATTAAAAAGAAAATAAATAATAAACAAATTTATCGTAACTCTTCTTTATCGATAACACAAAGATTTGATAAGAACTGCGCATACTAGGTACTGCATTTTCTTGAATAGAGCGCAGCAGTGATTTCCAGGGATCAGTGCGTCGTCGTAGTCGAGGGGTGAAAAGGGATTATGTATCGTGGGTTAGTTCGTTCTTCGTACCTGCCAATTCGTATTTCGTGTTTCGTTGCGCGTGAGACTCGTGCGATCCTCGAGCGAGGCACATCGTAATGGCCGCGACCTGACTCGGGTGATGTGCATGCGAGCTACCGTGTTCGCGTTACGTGAAGCAGACGAGCGGAAAAAGAGATAGGGTAAGCAAATACGAAAAACGAGAAGATACGACGAAGTTTAAGAGTTACGCGATTTCTGTGCGTATCGTGAGTGCTTGTGGGTGGGCGAGGCGTGAGCTCACAATAAGAGTCTCGAGGACGACGAACCATGAGCGAAGATCGAAGCGAAGAAGATCCTTTAATGGATCTTTGGTATAGCAATTGGGAACAACAGTGCGTTGAAGCATTGGAAACAGAACAAGATTACGAAACGCAACTGCACAACGAAAAGGAACTTTATTCCCAGCAGATGTGGACGAGTTTTCAGACGACTGCGTCGGCCATCGCCCAGCTGTATAAAGGCAAGTTAATTTGATGATAATATTGATCATCATTTATATCTTTCTTTCATTCATTTATAAAATGACTTTCGATGTCTATGAGTAACGAGAACATTTCGTAGTTACATCCATTTGCGTGACATCCATTTTGTGCGACGTACGAGAGGATACGCCACTGTTCTCGCTCCTCGTTTGCTTCGATTCCCTTTTTTCGCCGCATGTGCATATCGATCTGATCGTGTAACCAGTTCCTTTCGGCTTTGCTCTTTTACAGATCGTACGCAGGGTGTCTCTCTATGGGTACCTTTCCAGACTGCTGCAGGTACCGTCACATCGTTGTACAAAGGTGCGTGCACTTCCTTGGTCTCTCTTGTCAACAATGTGAGCAAGATAAATCTTCATTCTAACTTTCTTATTCTCCTTTTTTTCTCTTTTTATAACATTATCCTTTTTTTGTTGCTTTTCCTCTCTTTTTTATCCTCATCTCTAGTATTCAGTCATTCTTTTGTACAATCGTCATTTACACATAACACATACACATAATGGTAATGTGTTTGCACGTATATGTGCGTCAGTCGCTTCGCACAGCTGACCAATGCTGAAGGTCAGCTGTTAATTGACGCAAACTTTCAGGACGATTACGAATATTTATAGAAAATAGAGTTGATTTCTGTTATTTTCAGGAAATTAGATCATTTTTTGCAGATAATTATATATAAGTTTTATATTAAATCAATGTCAAATATTTATTAATGATTGCAAGTATTATGTATACTGATTATGATGCTTGTTTTAATGATTATTTTTGTATTTTTATTTATTTTGAAATAAATATAATGTTTCTTTTTTGTATTAAAATTTTAATTTTTTTATCCTATTATTATTTGAAAATAATTTTAAATTTTCAAAATTATTTCAATTTTTTAATTATATTTAAAATAATGAATTTTAGTTTTAAAAAAGTATTAAAAATATAAGTTTATGATTATATCATGAAAGTTCTATTCTTTTATGGTTATTATATTTATTTATTTATGTAATAACTTCAATAATTTGTATTATTTTATAGTAATTTGTATTATGTTATAGTTATTTTAAGTGTTTATCTGATTATAATTATTTATGTAAAGATAATTTTTTTAATATTATTCTTAATATTAATATATTAAAAAATATGTATATATTATATATTTGAGACAATGTTAACACATTATTTATATAATTTTCTATATAATAAATATTATTTAGTTTGTAAGTGTGAAATATTTTAACAGATTCTATGGACAGCATGCGTCGATGCAGTGAATTAGGTATAGAAATGGGCCGACAAAAGCGTAGTAAAGAAATTATGAATTGGGCTAGAAAGAAAAGGCGTATGATTCGTAGAGAAGATTTGTTAGCATATCTAGCTGGAAAACCACCTCCACCTCGACCACATTCGCATAGGTAAATGTTATATCAATTTTTTTAATATACATACAAATGTGTTCTCTATAGCTTTTAGAATAATTTCAAAAGCTAGGGAAAACATTAAAATTATACTATTATATTTCACTATAAAAAAATATCTTAATTGTTTTATTTTATAGGCATTAATGCATCAATAACTTTTATAAGGTTTGTCCTATTAATGGAAGTAACACAGATATAAAATGAATATTAATAAATTTCAGAAGTTCACCTAAACCAAGGATGATGGTTTGTAGTTCGCCTTCTACAGAAAGTTCAACACCAAATATGGTTGTTGCACCAACACCAATACCTGGAAATGATCCTGATCCTGAATTACATACATTTAGAGAAGCAATTGCATTGTCTGGTAAGAATTATTTTAATATAATGAATATAAGTAATAAAATATAAGGAATAAAAAATATAAGTAAAAAAAAAAAAAAAGGATCATTGTGCATTATTTAAAATTTATAGTGTTTCATAATTGTAATAATAAAAAGATTATGTTAATGCTGATATCTCATTTATTATAATTAATATAATATAATAGTTTTCTTAAATAATTAAAAAAAATCTTAATAATTTTAAATAGGCTCACCAATATCTCGGCGTACTGGAAGACAAGCCGAATTATCGGCTTTTATTAGTAGCGAATTCGCTCGACATCATAAACGGCCTGCTTCGCATGACGTGGATATGGGATCTCCCACGCACAAACGTTCACGTTTCATGTAACGGCGCGCGATGTGTAAAGTAGCCTCACTCCCTTGTTCCCCATTAATTAATCAATTGATAAATTAATTATTAACGGTTCAACTCCCCTACATAGTTCCCGGTTAAACATAATCACTTCAAGAAGATGGCAATGACTTGCATTGTCATATAAAACACGTTCGTATATTTCGAGTAATTTATATTATCTGTCACGTTTCATTATTATTATTTATTAAGCTTTATAGTTCGGTTTTTATATCAATAATCAGGGTAATTAATTTTATTTAATAAATAATTAATTTAATTAAATAATATAATCATTTAAAATAATTATAATCATTTAAATTACTGTATATTATTTGGGGAAATTTTAGTTTGTTAAAGTTTAAAGATATGATGCAAAAATTTATTATTATACATACTAGAAAAAATCTATTTTGAAATTATTTATTTATTTATATAAGCTGTGAGATAATACAAACGTGTTATAACAATACCATTCAAAGTGCCCATGCAGAGTGAATGTCATTGTTTTATAAGCATAAAATCTGTATATGTGATTATTAGTTTATCGATCTATAAACCAAGAGTATGAACCTTGCCAAATGTATTATGAGATGTTAAAAGCTGTAACTAACATGCTTTACACAATTGATGTGTATGTTAAAAATTAGCAGCTAATATTTCGTGATACTTTTTTCAGTCACTTCATAGTGTACTGTAATTTTTTTAAATGGGATGTTCTAAAAGTGAGAAATGAATTGGAGATTTAATGTTTTATAAATATATTACTATCTACGATTGTAATTTTGCGAGATAAAAGGGAACGGGGAGAGGATGATTATAAAATGTTTTTTCATAATCCAAAGGATCGCTTCTTCTGATTATAATATTGTTATAATTATTAAATGATCGTAGATAATTCATATTTGGACGCTTTTATCAATAAAAAAAAATCATTTCATATGGCTTTCGTT